TTCTCTTCCCGATTTTTCAGAATCCCAACGCCCCGAACTTTGGAGGTACCCGCTTCTTCAGACCGAGAAGCTCTTTGCCCAAAATGCCATTCCACTCCACAAAGAAAGGTGACACGACCCTCCATCGGCAAGCTGATCCCAAGGCCCGCCTTGTCGCCGGTGTCTTGGCAGCAGGTGTTCAGCAAGGGGTCGCAGCTCTCGCCCTCCAGCTTGCAGGCCGCCTCCACCTATGCCGAAAGCAGAGCCTAAGCCACAGGTTTTGGATCACTTCCCCTCTTTGCCCAAAGAAGACTTTTGCAAGTCGTCTTTGCCTGGTTGTGGATTGTGGCTGCTTATGGCAGGGTAAGAACCCATGATCATTTGGGAACACCGCCTGGATCTCCTTCTGCATGGTGCACACGAGGCCTGGCTTGCCTGGCCATGTGGCGCTGAGGGCGCAAGAGATGTGGCTTTCGCTGCCCAGAAACCCATGTAAGGCTGTAAGGGTCCCCAATTCTTTGGTCCAGCGACGAGGCAAGACAACTTCAGCCCCTGCCTCCAGTCTTCGTCTTGGGCTTGCAACTCATCGGCATCTTAGCGTCGAGCTGGCAGCATGGGGCTTTGTCCCCGCACACTTCGCCTCTCACGAGCAGAGAAGTCGGTTTGCTGGCAGAGCAAGTCAGTGCATCGTGTGTCAAAGCCCCGAACTAGCGGCCGATGGTTGAAGCTTTGCTCTGACACGCCAGCGTCCCCTTCAATTTTTCTTATCCCTGACCCCGAATCTATTCCAATGGCGGAACTCCACACGGCTACCTATCAGCCACCTCTTTTTTCCGCCCCGACTCACTGCACACGTCACGCGGGGGCCTTCAGGAATGCACTTCTCCTGCACCATCTGATCCGGGAACTCTGCACCACACTTGTAGGCCACTCCGGTGTCATCGGGGCCGTTGGAACGCAGGCGGCATGTCATGAGCCTTGGGAAACAAGCTCGTTCTGGACTTGATTCGCAGCACGTAGCCATGATGCATCAACCCTCTAGAAGGGTGCCTGGCTCCCCGCAGCAATGCAATCAACAGAAAACATGTCGTTGTTCTCACGCGACGGCGAGCATCGACCATACCTTGCGCCTCCTTGTGCGACACTGTGACTTCCAAGCCCTGACTGGGGTCATGCGGCATGTGCCTTTGTCACGATGGCACAGGGATTTGTGCTCGGAGCTTAGATCTTTTGGGGGCCATTCCTTGGGCCAAAAAGCCCCGGGCCCTGGCAGCACTGATCCGCCCTTGGGTCGCAGGAAGTCTCCGCCGGCACGCACTTGCCCCTGCAACGGCCGCAGGCGGGGAGCCAGCTGAGCTTTGTATTTGTTTATCTGAATACAATGGCACTTGGAGGCCCCTCAAGAACCCGCAAAAATGGTTTTCCAAAGCTGCACGGAAGTTTGTAAAGCTGGCAGTTTCACTCAATGGGGCGTCTAAACAAGAGCATCCATGTTGGATAGGCATCACACCTGAGTGCGTGGAGACTTATTGGAGGGGGTCTGTGGTCACGGCGTCAATGAGAGGATGTATCATGTTCTTTATTCAGGCTCGATGGCCTCAAGACACAGCATGCGGTTTGATGACCAATCGCATGCTCGCTTTCTGAACGTTTCCGAACGGAGACCAGTTTAAGCTTTAAACCGCATTCGGCGATTCTCACATATGAATTTGAGAGTTGTACTGAAAGAACAGATGCAAGAAGACCCATGATGAAGTTGTTGGGCGTAGGATTGCATATGTCGGTTGGCCTTTGTTCACATTCATACTTACGTCGTGCTTGACCCATTCCAAAAACTTAGTTCAATCTGCGCCATGTCCTGCAAATCAAGAGAACACGAAAATTCCGTTGGGTCAAAGGGATTGAAATACCTTTGCAGGGTTGATCCTTGTGCTCTGCTGTCAAGTTTGGTGCCAACATCTTGGGAGACTGCATGGCTCGGTTGCAGCGTTGAAAGCTTCATGCAAAGGTCATACACTGGCTTCATGGTGTGAGATCATGCTGTTCAAATGCCATACGGTGAAACATATTGTCAAATAGACCTTTTGTGCTGTCGTTCGAAGCTGCTGCGAGCCCGGGAAATCAGATTTCAAACATTTTGTCTAAAATACAGCGTGTGAGCCTTTCTCTTGAGCCTAATGTCAGTCACGCTGTTGAGAACTTATAAGCACGCGTGTGAAATGGCCACTCCTAGTGGTTTCATGTCCACTCCGACTTTTCACGGGTCACTCCTGCTTTTTGAATTGGCTGGTTTGGCACTCCGGAAACTCAGTGTCTTTTTGGGGTCTCCCAAAGAAGCACGGAGAAGGGGGGGGGGAAAAACAGTGGAACAAAACGGCGCTGGAAGATCCAGGAGGGGTAGTTTGTGAGAGGGCTAGGCGCAGATGTCCCATGGCATGACAGGCTCATGAGCACTCTTCAACCGTCGCCTCTACACATTGGCTGAAACTCACTTGTACCACCCTCTTGGAGCAGAGCCAAATTGCATTAGGATGAAAACGCGCAAACACATCACCCACTCCATGCTCCAAGCCGAATCAGCGATGAACAATCACGTTTGATCGGCGGGTGGCCACTGAGACGGATTGGAGGGATGGTGCATTGGCTTCCCCAAAAATGCCCAGGCATGAGGCTGATCCACACGGTACAACTAAAAGACTAACTTAAGCGAGTGAAAGGCAAAACCAGACTTTAGAGTGTCCAAAGAAGCTGTCATGCCATTCTGGGGAATGCCCAGCCTCAAGTTGGCGCTGGCCAGGAGGAAGCAGGACACCACGATGCTCCAGCGCAAAGCCATTGGGAAAACCGAGGAAAATAGAGATCCCCCCAATCTTGATCGTGCAAAACAACTACGGGCGGTTGTCGACATGATGCACGACGTATGTTGCCTCTTCGTCATTTGCAACCATCAGGTCGCACACGGATTCGCCCCGTGCCAGCAAACCATTTGCCTGGAAAACCAAACTTTCGGAACCTTGTAGACTTTTGGGCGTTCAGGATGGTTGATGGTTTTGCTCGTTTGGATTTGGCTTGCGCACTGTTGGAAGTAGTTATTGCAGGTGTGTTGCGATGTTCCAGCAGGCATTTCGTCCTTCCTGGCGGTTTGAGTGGTACAACACCCAAAACTGCGTCATGTTCTGGTTGTCGGGTTCTCCAGATCGGAATAGCTCGATCATGTGCTCATGCAGAAGAAAGTTCGGTACCAAACCTGTGACTCTCTCCAAACAAACAAGCAATCTGAAGGAGTGGGCGCATCCTAACCTCAAATGAGCCCGCCAAAAGAGGCAGGGACATTATAATTTGCTCCCCGCTCATTCGAAAATTGGAAGCTTTGATCCTGGTTTTGAGCGGGAAATGCACAATGTAAACAATCACAATTGGCATCCTCTTTGTTAGTCCCAGGCCTGCCACTATACAATGTCAAGAGCATGACTCCGCCTATTTGCTGGGTGGCAGTAGTGGGGCAGGCTTGGGCAAACCACCTGTTGAGTTGTGTTTGAAGCACTATTTACATAGACATCCTTCTCTCACCTTTCCTTTACAGGGTACTAGGTCTGGTTGCTACACTGACCTGCCAAGCTGACTGGCCAGAACAGGTTGGATCTGTTGGACGTTTCCCAAAAACAAGCTGAACACTCAACGCACCGCTCGGGGTGACCTGTGGTTTGGGAGTAGACCACCCCTCCGCTTGCCGTCATTGCTCGCCTGCCTTCGAAGGCGTGGACGGCTGTCCTGACGATCGCGAAATGACCCCTCAAGGCTTTCCGAAGGAGCCAATGGGCAGTCCCGCGAAATGGGGGCAAACCTCGGGCAAACCCATCTTTTTCTTATGGGGAAACCACATGTAACAGTAACATCATGCCACGAATTCCAACTCCAAGGGGATCCCAAGTCCGCCAGTGAGCTTGTGGGGTGGATCTTGTTAGATGAACCCTGCAAGCTGCTTGGGCGATTCACTCTTGGCACTGTGTCCAAATTGTAGGCTGACATCTGCCTGGGATGTTCAAAGTGGGGGGACCATCATCCGAGTCCACAATTCAATTCATAGTGGGACACCACTACAAGGGAACCCACACGATCTGGCGAAGAAGTTTTGCTTGCTTCGGGCAATGGAATGCAAGTGTCAAGCACTGCAAACTACCACCTGCCTTCGAAAATGGACATCTCAAAAGGGGTGTCTTTCACTTTAGTTTCCCTTTACGGCAACCCCAAAAACCACACCCTCAGAAAAATATCCGCCAACGTCGTGGCAGCTTGTGAGCGGCTGCTGTCCGCACCACTTTTCTCCGATGGAGTTGTCTGATCGCCCGGCTCGGGCGTGAGCCGCGGCTAAGACTTTGTTCGTAGCTTCGTAGAAGCAGGATCGCAGGTCCTGTCATCCACATGTTCGATTCAAAACCCGTGGTCATCCGTGGTCCTTTTCTACTGGCCTGTTTGATGGGCTGCAATACAAGCCCTCAATATCATCTTCATTGAACAAGGTAGCAGTCTAGCACCCGCGTCAAAATGGCCACTACATGGTTTTGAGAATCTGGAACAACAGCACCCCTCTGCCATTTCAAGGGAAAGCGGGATGCAGCAAGCTCCTGGATGAGTATGAATTTGTATAACAATTTGGGGGATACGTCCCAAGAGTTTGCAATGCTCTGCAAGAAATTAGCGGTCAAGCAATAGTGACTCTGATGACATCCGAGAGGCGACCAGCAAAAGCAACCCAATGAAATGTCTGCTTCACGAGACAGCTTGATCCGTGCAAACCACAACCACAAGCTTCACAGTAGCCGTGCCTCAATCCTCTGCAGCTTCTGCTCATGCATACGAGCGTCGCGAGTATCCTCAGGTACAAGGATACTAGTATGTGTGCCTGCAGCTGCAGAATGGATGGCCTTCCTCGACAGCCGCCTTTAGTGCCGCTTGAGTTTGTAAGCATACTAATCTGTGAGTCTTGCCTTGAAACACCCCAAACCCGACATCCTACACCGTCATAAAGATAGAACTCGAGCGGCCGAGAGCAGCAGGCGGTTCTCGTAGAAGTAGGCCACATTTTCGCGGAGTGCCACAAGGCACAGGCCGTCGGGATCGCACAAGATCCATCCCTTCAGCCTAGCGCAACATCGAGCCATGTCAAGCCTGGCAGCCTGCTTGATGTTGTTATTGTTTGTTGCCGGGGGAATAGGGCAGAAGCGCTATGGAAGGTATGCATATCATATACTATTATAATAATTATGACATGCCTTTATGCTGCATGGCCAGAAACGCATTGGCGCAGAGGGACGAGGTGGCAATGGCCAGCTTCACTCTGTGCAAAACCATTCAGGGGCGGGGCATTATTTTGCCAAGCGAAGTTGCCACGCGACGTAACATGAACTAACTTTGACACTTACATGTTTTACACAAAAGCAAACAAACAAACAAACAAACAAACAATGATTAGGTTTTATTTCACAAAATGATTCGCCCTAGCTCGAGTTCTAGCACCAATAATTACAGGCCGGACATGGGCCCACACACCATCTCAGAAGGGATGCGTGCCCCGCCCGTCCTCTGAAAAAGGTCGCCCCTCTTCTCCTTCATGCTCGCTGCCAGCTCTCGCACGTCCTGAACCTGGAACGCCACCTTGCCGAGGGCCGCTTGCTGGCGCTGTTGCCCCCACGCTTGGCTGAGACCCCTGAAGCCCAACACTTCAAAATGTCAAAGTACACACAAACATTTTGGTTGTTCGAGGCTTTTTGCCAATCCCGACCGGCTGGGAACCTGGGCACCCTTCATACGTTTCGCTTGGGGTGCCCCTATCCTCCCCCAACATACATTGCTTAGCGAGTGGGAGTCCCAAATGAGGAGTTGGAAGAAGAAACAAGCGATACATCCAATGTTGACTTCCTTTGCAAAACATCAAACTATATCATTCTATGATACTACTTATCCAACATGAAATCCAAAAAGGATCGTCTACCCTCGCACAGCTGGTCCCCGCGCCTTCTGCGTGGCGTAGACGAAGTTCAACTGCAGCGGAGGCCTCGAAGACCCCTCCAACGACTGAGCCGAAGTGGCTAACTGATGAACAAATCACGGTCTCACGGTCAAAGGTCAAAGAGGTTGGTCTAAAATTCAAATTGAGCAAAGGTCCAATCAGAAGAACCGTTTCGGCCAATGCTCCAAGGGGTCAGGTCAATTGAAGCCGAAGAGCGAGAGCCAACACCGCAGCAGCTCCGCGTGTAGCGTGCCGTCCGCCTCCGGCAGCGAGATCTTCCGCCTCCCAAGCTTTGGCGGATTTGGAACCTTACCTGGGCCACGGTCCCATTTTCCCCTCAAGTGTTTTCACGTATCATCTCCTGCGTGACAATCCCTGGGGTGTGCTCACCATGGTGTTCCGTTGACGTTGACCATTTCGCCATGATAACTCGGCCTTCACTGTGGTCAATGACGGTAAACAGAACTAGGGTAACCCCTGAAGGGCAATGCAGGGAAGAACGTATTTGACTTGATATGTTTGCAGTCCCCGTGCTCTGGCTTGCTCTTGCGCAGCGTGACGACGAGCCATTCAAATTCCTCCGGGCGACCTGCGACTTAGGAGGTTGATTGTAATCTAAAGGGGCCTAATTCAGCTCAGCTCATGGCTTTTATTTTGCTTGAACCAACCCTCCAGTTGCATTGGCGGCCACACATGTCGCGAAGGGGCCGAAAAGCATCCTTCACACTTGTTCATTTGCTGACGCGTACAGGCCACCACATTCATCCATATTAGTAAATCCGCTCCGTCGGCCGGTGCCTGGGGTACAGGGCCAGGCGGTCCAGGTCTATCTCCCGGTCCTTGCCCCAGACCCAGTGGGGCGCCGGCGGCGGGAAGAGCTGCGCGATGGGCAGCCGGATGAGATCTGCATGGATACGGGCTTCGAGGGCAAGGGACACTCCGCTTGGCGCTTTTGGGACAAACGGATTTGAGTAATTGCCTGTTTTGCACCAGAGTAGAATCTGGACTTGGACCCAAACAACTGTTGTGAGTCCAATGCCAAGGAAAGTCCGGAGATGTCCGGAGATTCAGCAAGCGCCCCTAAAATGAACATGTCTGGAGAACCCCCAGTACTTCGCCAAGCTGCTGAAGCCATTTTTCTCAGAGATGCGCATGAAGTCGGTGACAAAGTGCATCATGTGGACAGAGGAGCAGACCTGAGCTTGAAAACAGCTAGGCCTAGCACAATGGATCGAGAACCCTTGCGTGTCTGGCATTGGAACACGACAAGCGCACTTTGTGTTTCTGTGTGTGGGTGCTCGTTGCAAGTTGATGTCACATAACATGGCACAGATCGGCGCATTTCCTGCTCTGCGGTTTCAGCGAGGCATAGAATGGGAACCAGTATGCCCCAATGGTAGCAATGTATGCCGTGTCCATGGCAGCAGAGGCAAAGGGCAAGACGACATGAGCACCGTGACATGCTGAAGCGGACAAACCTGTCCACTTCGACGTGTGCGTAATCTAGATCCGTAACAGAAGTTGGTGCCCTGGTGACCAAATGTGCTTGTTCGGAAATGGGCAACCCCTGCAAAATGCAAAATGCGTGGTGACCCTTGATTTTTCCTCCAGACCAAGGGTCACCCTCAAAACACGACGCCTAAGTAGAAACGCGAGCTACCAACCACTGGATCACGAAATTGAAGAGCTTGGGCGGGGCGAAAATGTCGTCGAAGAAGAGCTCGAACCAGTCGCGGCTCTCTGCGAAGGATGATGGCAGATCTGCATCTTTAACCTGAGAGTCTCAAGCTGCACAAGTTGATGCTGGGGAATGTTAACACGAACTCTCTCTCCTGCGGACACAGGGCGTTTCTCACACCAGGGTCTCCTAAAATGGTTGGCTTGCTTTTGGTTTCCAACCAAAAGGGGGTCCACCATTTTCAGACACCTCCAAATGTTCAAAGCCGACTTGAATCTCAGGGCTTCTGGCTTGAACACCGAGCAGCATACACTGTGTGCCTCCCTCGCTCCACCTTGAACTCGTGGCCCGTGTTATCCAGAGCGATGTCCAAAGCAACCGTCTCCGACTCGCAACGCCTCGAAACTGGTCAACGACTCCGACGCCAAGAGGCCCCAAATAACGAATGTTGCGGGAAGAAAGAACAGTGCTCAAGACCAAACTCGCCCGCTCAGTTCTCACCATCTCCATCCCATGCCACATGAGCCAAGCTCAAAAATTGCGGCCAACATAACGGACCTGAACAAATCCGTGTTTCCTTCATTTTTGTGGGAGTCCGCCTATACTTGGAGCGAAACCAAATCAGGCTGGTTGCTTGTGTGTGTGTGTGTCAATTTGAAAATAGGGAAGCCAAAACTGGGGGCTGCCTGCGATTTGCCTTCAAACCACCCACAAACATGCACAAGCCCATTCGAGTCTTTCTCACTCTTAACGGACTCTTTGATGTGGCTTCCGAGAAACCTTCCCATGGGACCCCTACCGGCCTACCCCTTTTGACTGAACTCCGAAGCTCCCGGTTGGGGTCGCGGCGCCCGAAGCAAAGCTGCTCCAAGTCTCGCTTGAAGGACTGGAAGTTGCGGAGCGTCTGCTTGTGCACCTCCTGAAAAAAAGAAAAAAGATGAAAAAAGCCAAAAAAGCCTCGGACTTGGCCTCTGGGTGAGTTTTTGGCTTGCCTGGGAGTTGGTGTGGAGGGAGTTAGTGGCTTGGGGTGGTTCGGATCAACCATGAACTTGTTTGGGAGGTAAAACAGAAACACAAAATAATTGCATTGAACTGCTTCGACCAGCCATTGCTCCAGGCTCGCCAAAAACACACAAAGCAATTCGGAGGGGAAAACAAAAGAGACAAAAAACACCTACCCACAGGATTTCTCCACGAGCCTGGCCAAGTCAGATATGCTTTCAATATCTCTGCAGCGGCGCATTTCCGACTGTGGACCACACAAATGGGGGGCTAAGGCTACTAAAAGCGGCCAAGTGCCACGAGTTTATAGTCTTTCTCTATGCTCCATGCAAGGGACTCTGAAATCTTGTGTCATCACCGACTTGCTTCGCATATGATGCGTTTTCCACGAAACGGGAGACGGACTCATTACAAATGCGCAGCTCATCTTGCCCTTGACAAGCTCAATTCAGAGTGCAGGACTCGATTCGCTCCGTCTTTAGGGAAGGGGCTAAACCCGAGTCGCTTTCCAGAACTTCGGTTCTCCCATGTTGCATTGCGGAACGGTGCGTCACAGCATGTTTTGCCGGGGAGCTAAAGCATTTCTACGAAAACCAGCCGCAAAGTTGAACTGGTATCCATGGCACCGACTGGCCTGATCGGAGGCCTCCCCATCGCTGTGCACCAGAAAGAAGTCGGTCCCTACCTGTCACGTGGACATTGTAAGGCTCATCCAAGCATGCAGTTCCCAAGCCACCAAACATCAACCAAAGGGCCGGGTGCAGGGGATAGGTTCATCTTTTGGAGCTAAAAGACCAAGAACGGAACACCGCAAGATGTCAAAAGGTTGTCTTTGGGCAAGTGAGCATCTTCCACGGCCCTTTGCAAAGCGCTACCTTCTTTCTTCGGTCACGGGTCGAGTACGCCATGGTCAGAACTTCTTGTGTGGGTCACAGTCTTTGGGCGATGTCTGCATCGCATGTTGCAAAGGACATGCCCATGCAATTCACAAATGGGCACATTCAAGCGCCAATCTGGCCCCCAAGCATGCTTGGCACAAGTCTGTAAAATCTGACGCTCGATCGCCGAATAAACCCAACTGGTGACAGTGCCTCAAAGCTTTGCAAACGCCGGTGCCAGTCATAGAGGGGCAAATATCTGAAGACACGGTTTCGAAAGGTTTGTGGAGCGAACATCCTGACAAAGCGTACCACGATTCGAGTTAAGAATCATCCTGGCTGTGAGCTAAAGCAAAAGTGTGCCTGGGTGCGAGAACCATCATCTTAGAATAAAGGCGTTTCTTGACGACGAAGTCGCTGATATGGGCAGCAATACGATGAACGACATCCTCGAGTGACATAGACTTTCCAAGGATGAGGGACATACAGCAACGTGGCATCGACATCATCGGGTTGGGCAACACGCGCTGGATCTTTAGACCTTTCAACGATCAGACTTTGAACTACTGACAGTTGCTCTCTACCTGACCGACATCGTAAGCATGATAGGTTCATTTGCAACGCAATCAATGTAATGTCCACCTAGGATTAGTAAAGGGGGGTCCCCCCCCCCCCCAACGATGGCGGCATCTGGAACAGCATCTTGAGATCCAGTTCAAGTGAGTTTCCATTTGATTTAGTATTGGCAGACTTGAGTTTCCATTTGATTTAGTATTGCTGGAGCTTCCTTTTGAGATTTGGAGCTGAGTTTCCATTTGATTTAGTATTGCTGGAGCTTCCTTTTGAGATTTGGAGCTGAGTTTCCATTTGATTTAGTATTGCTGGAGCTTCCTTTTGAGATTTGGAGCTGAGTTTCCATTTGATTTAGTATTGCTGGAGCTTCCTTTTGAGATTTGGAACTGAGTTTCCATTTGATTTAGTATTGCTGGAGCTTCCTTTTGAGATTTGGAGCTGAGTTTCCATTTGATTTAGTATTGCTGGAGCTTCCTTTTGAGATTTGGAGCTGAGTTTCCATTTGATTTAGTATTGCTGGAGCTTCCTTTTGAGATTTGGAACTGAGTTTCCATTTGATTTAGTATTGCTGGAGCTTTTGATTTAGTTTTGGTAGACTTGAGTTTCCATTTGATTTAGTATTGTAGACTTGATTTCCATCTGAATTACTCAGTTTCCATTTGATTTAGCATTTGTTTTTCATTTCCTTTTCCTTCTCTCATCTCTTCCTCTCTCTCCTTGGCTGGCTGGGAGGGGGCAGGAGGTTTGGAGACATCAGCAGCCACAGTAGCAAAAAGGAAGGTAGCAATGCAAAAGGTAGGCAGCAAGAGCGACCAAGGTTTGCAGGTAGGTGTTGCAAAGCTCCCTGTAGGATCAGATCTCAGTGAGATGTTTCCAGAGAAAAAAGAGAAGTTGCCCCTGCAAGATTCAAAGGGAGAGGGAGGAGAGAAGATACAAGAGAAAGTAGAAGAACCAGCCAAAGAGAAGGTGGAAGTACAGTTGGAAGATGTGCCAACAGAAGAACCTGAAGGAAAAGAAGAGCCTGAAGGAGAAGTGGATGAAAAGAAAGATCACAAGGAGGTGGCTGAAGCCTAGCAGGCAGCTGCCAGTAGCAGCCAGCTAGAAGCCAGCTGCTGAGAGCAAAAAAGGAAGCAGAGCTGGGCCAAAGCTGCAGGGTTAGTAGGAGTTTGAGGCAGGTTTGCATGAGGTCATTGGCCAGCTTGAGAGAGGGTTGCTAGGAGTTTGAGGCAGGTTTGCATGAGGTTTTTTGGCAGCTGGAGTTTGGCCAGCTTGAGAGAGGGTTGGTAGGAGTTTGAGGCAGGTTTGCATGAGGTTTTTTGGCCGGCTGAAGTTTGGCCAGCTTGGTAATTAGGAGTTTGAGGCAGGTTTGCATGAGGTTTTTTGGCCAGCTGGAGTTTGGCCAGCTTGAGAGAGGGTTGGTAGGAGTTTGAGGCAGGTGTGCATGAGGTAATTAGCCAGCATGAAGAAGCGAGCTTGGAGCAGCTGCCAGCTCTCCAAGCAAGTTGTGCTTCAGCTTCAAGCTTTGCATAGCTGCTGGGCTTCCACAGCAGTTGGTGGTTAGTTTTCCTTCCAGCATGAGTTAATTACACTGATTTCATGCATTTGTTTGGGTTCAGTTGACAATCTCAGGTTGCAGAGATGGACAGGCTGGCAGGGCTGATCAGCAAGATGAAGGCCAAGAGGACACAGGTGGCAGTTGGGCTTGTAGCTCTGAGAGTTGGGTTTCTCAGCAACAGAGCCCCAGCTTGACTTAGCTTCTCTTTGGGAAAGTTTGAGAAAGATTGCCCAACCCCCTGCAGCCCAGGAGATGCTCGCACAGTTGTCATGTCCAAGGGGGCACTGGTGGTGGCACAGTTGGACATTGGAAAGGCTGCTTGGTGTAATTTAGCTGGTTTTCTTTCCACATCTTTAGTTGGTCAACAGTTTGATTTGTTAGACCACTGCAAAGCCACTAATTAGGTGATGCTAGCTGCGAGCATAGCCTACATCATGCAGATCTTGAGAGAGATGAACTCCAAGTTGTCAACAGTGATGGACAGCTGCTGGATCAGTGCCACCAAGTTGGTCTGGCCTGAGATGAGCAGTTGTGCATGTCATTAGCAAAGCTTTGTAGCTTTTCATGCAAGTTTTCAATTTCAGCACAACTAGCTTTGCAGTTTTGCAGCAGTTTTGCAGTTTGCCACAAGCTAATTAAGGAGCTGACCGAGATGCAGCAAGTCACACAGATGTGCAGAGGCACCTGTACCAGTTCATGCTAGACTGGGAGGAGAGTAGCCCAGCTTGGGTTTAGAAGTTGTTCAAGCAGATGTGGACACAGTTGATTGTTTGGTGGGTCCGTTTTCAATAGTTACACAGTTGCCAGTTAGCTGAGGTTCAAACTGGTCAGGTGCCAAAGCATTCACAAGTATGTTGCTGCAATACAGGGCAGCTCCCACACACAGATGCAGCCAGCTACGTGGCAGAGTGGGACCTGGCAGTGAGGTCTGCACAGTTGCAGGTGCAGATTTGCATTTGGGAGAAGAGGTTTCTCAGAGACTCTTGGCTTCGTGATGAGCTTTCTTTGGTTGTAATTCAGCCACATTTTACTTTAAAGGGGGGGTATATAATTAGGTGTTTAGTAGGGAATTAGCACTAGCTTTGGGTAGCAGTAGCCTTTGGGGTAGTGGCCATTAGCAGTTCTAGTCAGCTCAGAAGTTGACCGATGACACGATCAGCTTCAAAGATGTCATGGCTGAGCAGAACGCCTTGAAGGTGGTGCAGTTCAACCCAGTGCCCTGAAGCAAGTTATGTTACATGCAACAGTTTTTTTAATGGTGGAGAGAAGCAGGGAAAGATAAATATAAACAAGCTGCCTCACAACTGCTTTAATTATTAGTTAATTAATCAGTTTCTTTCCACTGAGCCAAAGACCCTTTGCAGGACATCAGATGAGCTTGTGCAGCAAGCTGCTCCATGGTCCATAGCTGGGGCAGAGTGGGAGTCCACCATTGAGAAGTTAGAGGTGTTGATGCGCCCTGTTATTTATTCAGACTCTTTTTTTGCATTTGAGTTGGCTGCAATTGTTTTGGGTTGTGTTCATTCTCTTTGTGTAGCTTCATCAGTTGGTTAGGTTGTAAGTTTCTTTTACTGAGTGGTGCCAGCTGCAGGCACAAAGCTGGCCACTTCAAGATGGATTGGTGTATAGTTGCACAGATGCCAGAGACACCAAAGCTGATGACAGAAGGGAAGCTGAAGTCTGAGATCAGTGAGTTGGAGAAGCTCCAAGCTTACTGGGAAACCCAGCCAAGAAGGTGAGAAGATAGAGTTAGCTGGTCTTGAGATGGCTGGCCCTAGCCAAGTGGGATAGTTTTGGAAAGAATCAGTAATTAGCTTGCTATCCTGATACAGTGTTTCAAAGTTACATAGAAGCCGTTGGTTTTCAGAATTGCTGGGGCCAGGTGAGTACAGTACTTCATTACAGAAGCTGATCAGTTGCAGTTTTGCAGGGACAGCTCTTTTGGCCAACAGCCTACAGCTGGCTGCTACAATATGATGTTTTCCAGCTGGGGGCTGTTTGAAACCAGTTGTTGGAACCATTAGTTGTCAGTTTGTCTTGGTCACAGAGAATTGCTGCTTTGTTTGGAGTAGGCCCAGAAAAGCTATGTCAGTTATTAATTCATTTCCATGCCAGAGATGGCAAGGAGTCCATAAAAGCACAAAAGGATTCTGAGCCAGGTCACTGGTTTTGCATGGGGTTGCCAGCTTGAAGGTGTGAGGTTTTGCATGGAGTTGCCAGCTTGAAGGTGTGAGGTTTTGCAGCGAGTTGCCAGCTTGAAGGTGTGAGGTTTTGCAGTGTCAGACTTTGGTGCAGCTGATCTTCAGATCAAATTTACAACAAGCTCATTCTACACAGCAGTAACTACTAATTAGCAAGCAGTGAAAGACACACAAACACAAACCACAGCTGACCAGCTGGCAAAGATAGCTAACCACACAGTCAGTTGCAGGGCAGATTGAAAAGCATCCAGGTGTGGCTCAAGATGGCAGATGGACAAGCTGGACAAAAGAAGCTGGCAGAGGACTGACTGGGCAGCAGGGGGAAGAGGAGTTAATTGATTGCTAGCTAAATGCAACAGACCCTTGGCTCAAGCAAAGGCCCTAGTTGATTTTGGAGCCATGTGGCCAGATGGAGATGCAGTTGTGGAAGTCTTTTGGAGGAACTGGCAAGGTGAGTTTGTGCTAGTTCAGAAGAGAG